TTTGATGCCTTCATAATCTAAGTCAAAGTATGGAAGAACACAATGTTTTTTGAGCTTCGGAAGGTCAAAGGACCTGAACGTGCAAATATTCCCGGAATCGGGGAAACTTCGAATGCATAAAAGATGCTGTTCGAGTGGAAACCATTGCATGCCTGTCTAGATACTCAGTTTCAGAATGAAAGAATAGAACTGAAGTGGAACTGAAATGAAAGATATGAAATGGAATACAATATATGGGCGACCACCTGTAGAGTATACTCTTAAGATGGCCGCCCATATAAAGCTAAGCTTAAAGGAATGCGGAATAAAACTGGAAAAGCTCGTGCCCGAACAGGAAAAAGCAGGTTTTCTTTATACCGAAGTGCGTAAACGGCCTCCTTCCTTATAGATGGCAGCGTCCGTAAAGTGAATGTTGCCATCTGAGTTCTCTTCCATCATAAATATAGTGCTTAGATAATTACTGCTTAAGAGATCCCCGCCCCGCTTGGTCCTGTTGTTTTTACACCTGTTCATGTATACTTTGCCCCCCCCCCCCCGCTGCGACTCCTCTGCATCTAGATTAGAAGAGGGATAAAGATAGCCTTCTTGCTATCATTAACGATGTGATATTGGATTAGTAAGCTACATTTTTAATGAAATTTCGGTCCGCGGACCTTGCTCACAGAATCGAATAATTCAAAGATGAAGCGGGTGCCAGATGCTGACCAGTGCTGACCATGTTTTTTTCCAGTATACACGTGATCAAATGGCATACATTTCCCTCACTTTGACCGAACCAATCATGATAAATCACAGGCGACAGAATACACAAGGCTTGCACAGATCAAGACCATATTTTTCTCCAGCGCGAAATATTTCTGTTTAGTGGGGGTTTCAGCTTGCGTTCAGCTACGGTTTAGCGAACACGTCATAGACGGAAAAAGCAAAGCCCTTGAGATTGCCATTGGCAATTATTTTTTTAAGCACACCAAACCGTGAGATTCAGCGTAATGAGAACCACTTGGCTGTGCAAATTTTGCAACAAATTGCATGACCATTGCCATCGCAAAATATGTGAATCAATCCACATACACCAGCTGCAGCCGTTACCTAATAAAAATATTTTATCGTGGAGAATGATGCAGTGTTTACCTGAACAGACTTTTTGTATTGTGCCGCCGGTGATTTATCACAATTTGTTTGGTCAAAGTGTTAGAAATGCGCGCCATTTGATCACGTGTATCATAGGGAAACCGTGCTAACCGCTGGCTAGCATCTGGTGTCCGCCAGGGTCCCTCTAAGTTTGACTGGCAACCCTGCCGTGACGTCATGGCGAGGCGCCCGGGCGAGCTATAACATTGTAAGCCCATAGGGAAAGGGTTTTTTCCCACGCAGTTCAAATTTTTCAGAATCATCCCTTGGACAGATTGAGAAGGCACAGACGGCTGAAACGCTCTCAGCATCAGCCAAAACGTGTATTCTCCCATACGCCAGTTGTGCTTTTAAAGCTCAGTGCCTTAGCCTTGAATTACGAGCCATTTTCTCAAGCTATTGCAACACTAACCCAGGTGACGCCACTGGTACCAAGCACCCGGTTTGTAGGTGACACTAGTATTGTATGTAAGGTTATACTCATCCAGTTTTCCTAGATACTTACGTCTTGCTTCTCGGAACGTTCCGCGCGTTGGAAGGCAAGCCGTGTTTTCTGGGTCTGAAAGATGTTAGAAATGCGTGCACCTTGCATGCAAATGCCCTTCCTTTATTTTGTTCGGTCACCAAGACCCTCGGCCCAATTGTCTACCACGCTAGTCTAACTGTCGCATGATGTTCTGTCATTGCATTGGTTACATGCACATGTAAGCCTGCCAAGTTTGACGTTGAATTCAAAATTTGACAGTTCTCTTGGCATGACTGACGCCTTAGCCCTCTTAAAATGGCTAAATATTGAAAGCGTGACACCGACATGCCACATTTCGGACTCACCTTCCACATCAGCTGAGCAGGTTGGTGAAAGAACAACTCCACTTGCACGATGCCGGAAGCGGGGAAGCAGCAATAATGCCAAATGGATCGCAGCAAAGCACAAACAAGGCGTCATGTTGTCCGCATCGAGACACATAGGGGGTGCACCAGAGCCTTTGCGCCAGTCCAGGCCAAATGATAGGAGAACGATGTAGTCGGGAAGGCGTCACCTGCCTTCTATGCATCAGAACCACGCATCCCAGAAACGCACTGACCAACTCCAGGAAGCGTACGGGGACGTGGGACCATCAGCCCCCTTTCTATTCGAACAGCGCAACAGTGGGAAGCTACTTCGGTCGACCCAAAACTGCCACTGCGGCCTAAATTGACACGCATTAATTACTCAGTGGCGTCGCTTCTTTCAAGACCCTTGAGGTAGCACGTAACACAATTTTAGAACCACCTGCAGCATCTTTTCAAACAACATTCATTATTTCAGATGGCGATCAAGCGCCGTTTCTTTTCATGCATGTCAAACGGATGTAAAAGCCTGCACTCATCTAGACCTGTAATCCCCCCGCAACGATCGAAATTGCGCTGAGTTTCTCATGATAGCATGCATCACAGGCTACTGGATCTACGCATGCACATCGATAACAATAGTTCGGTGGTATTTTACCTTGCTTTACCCCATTAGAAGCGTGGCCTGGCAGCACGCTGAACACCTGGCCGCTGTGGCATACCTGATCCAGCCTAAGTCGAGTTTTGGGCACGCCTGCCAAACCAGGAGCAGTTTTATAACAAGCTGTACAATGATGTTCAGGACTTTGACGACCTGGTTAAAAACTGGTAAGCTAATAACGTTAAGTTTGCGCGCTTCAAAACCTAAAAAGGTAAGAGGGGCACGCGAAACTACCCGAGACATTTTAGGTTGAAGTTCAAGGTACCGTTTCGGCGGAGCTCAGAAAATGTACTCGTAGACCAGTGTCCAAGTTTTTTAGAACGTTGAGTTTGGGCGCATAATGTCTCGCGAAGTTTTGTCTGTTCAATGTAGCTTTTTGTGGCTCGAGATGCATGGACCATGTTTTTATTAGCCTGTCAACCTTAAGCTAAATTTTGGCCGCCTGGAATATGGATCGAAGGTTTGATACGGATATGCTGAGAGCTTGACATGTGTAGTTTTGGGCTTAAAACATTGGGTAGGGCCAAGATTCTGCCAACATGCTGCCCAGCCATCGACATTTTGGGCATAAATATTCGACATTAACACCCGCACTTAAAATTGGCGTTTGTCAATATTTCTGGCGTCTATACGAGTGAGCAAGGTACGCCATTCATGCGTCTGAACACCAACTGAGAGCTCAATCCTCAGCCTGACCCGCTATTCTCATAACACGAACTGAGGTGGGGGTCGGGGGAGGAGGGATTTGACACTACTCACCCCGCCATGAACGTGTCAGCTGTTTCAGTCTGAGCATATTGACATATAGTTTTGGTGTGTTTTGAACATGTATGCATAATGTAGAGCTCTGTAGCTGTAACAGTTGACATTCCGCTCGCCGCAAACGGAGGCGTTATCGGTCGCCCCCCGTCGCCCGCGCTTGCCGAAGATTGCCGTGCAGTGTTCCTAAAAGGTCACTTTTCACAAGCCACATGCTATGGACACATTTTTGTGTTAGAACACACGCAATGAATGCCTCAGACTACCCAGAAAAGTTGAGAACGATTGCATAACATGCTGGAAACATGCCCTCAAGAACCGTAAGGCCTGGACGGTGCTCTCCACTTCATCGACTCTCTTATGAGGGGATACCTAATTAGTTTTAAAGGAGACATGAAAGGAAAAGCATGCATAAGCTATGACCATGCGTCTGCCTGGATAACAAGCTCCCGCCTCAGCGCCTAAACTGCTCCAGGAGGCTGGTGCCACCACTGGAAGTGCGTCCTATTGCGTTATTGACGCCGGGCTTGTGCGCAGGAATTGAATCTGGGTCCTTCGCGGAATAGAGAAGTTAAAGCTTCAAATCGTGTTTGCAACCCTTTTGCAACAAACCGCTTCAAACGAAACCTGGCTCTAAAAATATTGAGCAAGCATTTAACCTCAGCAGGTACACCATGGCGTACTGCGCGTCTTGTCTTTATTTCACTGAGAAATGATAATGCGCCGGTGGCCAGCGCATTGTCGTTTCTCGATGCATTGCGACAGGATTCTGCACAGTATGTCTTAAGCGATGTCAATAAGCCAAAAAACTTTCATACGCCCAAACTTCACTCCGTTAACTCATGCCGTGCTACAAATTGGTGGAGACCCTCAACCATGACAATGACAACAACAATGATGAATTTTGTTCAGGTATCAAATTTAGCACTACTAAAATGTTTGGTATGCAACATAAATATCTACTAAATGGCCACAGTTTACCTTCGTTGTATACTTGGATAGCAAAAGTCAATAAATATATCATAGCATACCCTACAGTCTTGGATTCTGTCAGATTAAGTTTTGATAGGAGGCCATATCATGAAGGAAAGCTAAATTATCCCATGATCTAACGCATTATCTAATTTCTAACTTTATCGTTAGATAACGTTACCTAACGCATAAGACGCCGCATCATTATCCAACGCATAAGACGCCGTATTCAGTAGAGAATCTAGTCCCCCGCGTGTACGTCACGGGCTGTCAGTTTCATATAGCCTATTGATCAAGTAACCGTGGTGTCCACTTTATATTTGAACTTTTCGATTCGGTGAGAAAGGTCCGTGACCAAAAATTCATAAAAATGCGACTTAGTGGAGCAAAATCACGCCTACAATGATCGTACGGTCATCTTAACTCTCTTAAAATGGATTCAACATTCTACTACATTTAGCCGACCAATTTCTGCACCGCACGGCACCTAGCTCGTTCCCCGCCCCATCGTACCACCGTCTTGACCCTAAACGGCAAACGCGGCCGCCGGTCGACCGGCTGCGTTAGTTCGCCCTTCGGCCGCCAGTCGGCGCCGGCACCCCCAGCCGTCCGGCCGGCCGGCCAGCCGGCCCATTAGCGTGCCCGA